GAAAACGGCAATTAAAAATTAAAAAGGGAGAAGTAGTAGTTAATCCTGCTTGCTTTTCAAAGTTGTAAAGAATTCTTAATCACTTCATTTTTGCCTACTTCTAAAAGGATTTTGAAGATATACCAAATCCTTATCCACAACTGAAAAGAAGTGTTAAACTTTTTTTATAAGCATTTATTTTCTTTTGGAATATAAAAATCTCAGTTTTGACTTGAGTCCTTTTTATTTTTGCATTGTATTTCCCTTGTAGTGATTGCAACTTAGATTTTGAGTAATTTTCAGATAAATTTCTTTTTCATGAGGATTCTACGTGGTAGATAATGATTGCTGAATATTCCATTTTTAATTGCCTTATAATTATTATGCCATTGGAAATCAGGTAATTTTATTACTTTTTGGTTATGCGAAAGCTTAGTTAAAAGACTCCTCATTTGCTAACTCTTTGACGGTTTTTGTTAGAGTCTTGTGGATTTTCCACATTGTCTTCTCTAGGTCACCATTGCAAACTACAATTTAGTTTAAATAGTATTTAGTATTATAATTAGGCATTAATAGCAAATTTGCATAATATTTCAGGAAATATTCTATCCTTTGAGAGAATAATTAGACTATCAGTGCCTAAATATGGAGGTATTTATAGTTTTTTTTTTTTTAATATTCCTTTTCCCTTTCAATATTTAGGAACTTGTCCTCCTAGAAGTATGCAAATTAATTGTTATGCCTTTATTAAGAATCTTTTAAAAAAACCGTTTTCCTCTGAATATTATTTTAAGTCTATTAAATTTAACTTACTGGTTCGAAAAATAAACACCTATGAAATAACACCTATAAAAAAGAAACACCTATAAAAAAATAATTAAAACCTAGTCCTACTCTCATTCAAATCTTTACCTCGTTTTGTGGAGGATTGGGTGTACTTACATCCCTTGCCTTGGATTTGACTCTTTTGGTTGGATTTATTAGCTATTTTAAACATTAAAAAGATTAATACTTACATAATGAACACCTATGAACTCACCACTCAGCTTCAGTCATAAAATATCACCAATATCATTCTCTGATCACATCTGCCTCCCTCATTGCTGAAAATTCCCCCAGAGGTAAATACAGTTGTGAATGTGGTGTTTGTTTTTTCCTGGGTTTGATTTTCATAGTAAGTTTTTTTTTTTTTTGGAATTACACAAGTAGTTCATGAGATCCACTAGTATACTTCAAATAACCCATCCAAGAGAATAAACCCCTGTTAGCAATTTAGTGATTAAAATGTGTTTATGCACATAGATATGTGCTGATAGAAATATGGCTGTTTTTTACCTAAAATGTACTGTATGTGTTGTTACATGTCTAGAGGTCGCTCTCCTACACCAACTCGGAAATACAGAGCTGCACAAGAAGACATGTACAAGGTTATTTATAATTTTATTGGTTTACAGTGAACAATTTGGAAATCTAAATATTCTACTCAGAAATAGAGAAATATGGAAGTGTATCAAGGATATTTGTAGCTTATTAGTTAAGTGAATAACTTGAAAATAACCTAAAAGTCTCATTAATAGGGGACAGACTAAATAAAATGTAGCATATCATACTATGAGGCAGTTCGAAGGGAGTGAAATGTTTAGACATTTACATGTACTCTGACATGGGTATTGGCATTGGACATTTCCATTATATCGGCAATGATTACTGCTTTTCAGCACAAAACACTACAAGGATTTCTAGCTAACCAAACTGTTGTAGTTAACTTGAGCAGACCAACTCTGCTTTTTTGTGGCTTTCTGGTTCTTTAAGTTTGTAGTTTAAGATTTTCTATCTTGTTGGAATGTTTTATGTTTCGTGGCAACCATACTGTGGTCCTGTGACAATTGTAGTTGGTGGTGATTGCAAAAATATGATTCTAAACTTCATCTCTTGTCTGGAGTTAAGCATTATAGTAGTTAAAAAACTAAACCATTCATTTCAAAAGGATTTCGAAAAGATTGCATATTCTAGCAAAGTCACTTAAGTCCCCCTGTCCATTCTTTTCTTTAGTATACCAGGCATGGGGAACATCAAAGACTACGACTTAGCTCTCAAGTCTTTTGGGGAGGTGACCAAATTACTTGTATAAAATGGAACAAATGGGAGGCAAAGTAGTGTAGATGTTAACAGCTGGGGCTCTGGCGTCGGTCTTCTAGGCCAGGATGTGTGTCATTGCTAAAAGTGAGGAGAGCCAGTGGAGTATGGTGGTTGCAGCTCAGACTCGGAAATGAGGCTGCCTATTTTCAATTTCCAGTGGTAGTAACTGCTATGACAGAGATGCTATAATGGAGTATTATGGAAATACCCATAGGCACAAAGTTTAGGATTGGAAAGTGCAAAGGATGTTTTCCTAGAGAAGGTAATACCTGAGGCCTCAAGAATTAAAGAGGTATTTAGCTTTAGGTGGAAGCAGAGGTTGGAGATGAGCAATACTAGGGCTTACTTTCTGCTCTACAAGTAGTTCAGAATGGCTGGAGCAGTGGGAGTAAGGAGAAGGAATGGTTAAGAGATGAGTCTTGAGAAATTGGCAGAGGCCAGGTTTCATGGGGCATGCTGAGATTGGATGTTACCAGTGCCCATGCCCAGGGTGGCTGGGAGGATGTGGGCAGCACTAGCTCCCTAATCTTTCAGGCCTCTCCAAGTACTCAGCTGCTTCCGCTATATAAATGTAGCTTCCGGGTATATCCCTAACACCTTTCAAGTAGACTGCCCTTTCTAAATTCCTTACTTATAAGGAAATTCTGGTGCTGCCTCTACGTTTCTGTCAGTGAGCAAATGGTGGAGGCAAAACAAATAAATTGCAACTAGTGCCATGGATTGTGTGGTACTGTCTCACCAATGGGTGCTAGCTGGGAAGGACTTTATGTTAGAAGGGGAATCTGAGCTTGAATGTGAAATTCTGAAATTTCTAATGTTTGGGTAAGGCTTTGGCGTTTGTAGAGTGCTGCTTTCATTTATCGTTTGATGCTCTCATGACCCTACAGGTACAGTCACAGAGGATGGCACAGGTTAAGAGATGGCACAGGCCTGAGATGATCTAGGACTGAGACCCAAGCCGTGGATACCAGAGCCTGCACTTTTTAACTGTACTATCCAGCCTTCCTCTTTCTTATCTCTTGCCTGGTGACCACCTTCTGATTGGTCATAGGTGGAGAATAAATGACTTAAGATGCCTTAGTCACCTGGACTAGTCCACTTTAACTGTGCAAAGGGCCAAGGAGTGAGGAAATATAAGGAGGCCCTGAAAGTGTTGAGCCACAGTTAAGGATGTCTGACTGGTTTTGGACATTGTCTATCAGGAGTAACATTTATTTTTTGAGTCTCTTAAGATTTTGAACCCCTGTGGTAAAATAGAAAGAACCCCTGTGGTAAAATAGAGTATGGGCTTTAGAGCCAGGCTTGGGGTGGAATCCCTGCCCTAACCCCCAAACCCCCTTTCTAGTTTTGTCATTGACTAAGTTACTTAAAACAGCTGTTTTTTCATTCTGCTCATGGTGATAATAATGCCTAATGGTGTTGTCATGGGGAATAGGCAAAATAATACATATAAAGTACTTAATGCAGTGCTGGGTACCTATTCGATGATCAGGCAATTAATAAATGGTTTTTCTCTTCTCTGCCCCCTCCCCCCCATTATTCTCACTGCTTCCTCATCTTAACTGAAAGGCCCCTGAACTGTAATGTGCTTACTTACTATGGATCACATGGGACTTTTGGGTCGATGCCAGTTTCCAGTGTACTGCCAGGTTTGTTCTGTGGGCGTGTTTGTCAAGTGATATGACCTCATTCCTAACTTGGAAGATAACAGTGGTGGTAAATACGAAGCCTCCCTTCTTGACCCTTTCTGGCTTCATGCCATGTCTCTTTCGTGTCCTGGTTGCTAAACTCAAGGACTTTTCTGTTAAGTTAATGTTCCTCTGGGGTGCAGGTTGCCACTTGCCTCCCTTTCTCTGCTCTGCCGCTCCTAAATGAAAAGGTAGTTTTTAAGCGAAAGAGTTGAGTGAGCTAGCTGTCCACGTCTTTTCCTGTAGCATCCATCAATTTGAAGTCTTTTCTCTTTCAAGTATCTTCACTCCTACCAGCATGCCCCTGAATTGCTTTTTCACTACTGAGAACAGGGGGGGTGTATTCCCTTCTCAGCTCCCAAGGTTGATATTTTATCTTCCCACAGCTTTCAGTTGTTTCAGCTTTCATTGCCTACTTAGGTTGCTCTTTCCTGAGGGGTGTTCGGAATGAGAAAGGGCGGGGATGCAGTTTTTATTGGATTAGTCATTCACAGTCAAATCAGAGTGCTGTTTTTGTTTATTTTGTTCTCTTAAGTCTACTAGTTGTAGCACTCACTGCAGGAGATTCCAAGGCAGGACCTCTGGTTTGGGGTTAATGTGTATATGTTTTTATGTAGCTCTCCAGATGAGCCTAATTTGCACCTGTTGTTGAGAACCACTGATTGGATAATTGCAACCAGATTGCATTCTTACCCTTTGGGTAACTCTGCCCTAGTTTGGTTTTGTTCTGTGTTGGTTTTTTCTTTCCCCTTTTGATTTTGTTTTTGTCTTGAGGAGGGAGGGACTGATACTGAACAAGTAAGACTTAGTGGATGCAGACAGATCGGCTTGGTTTCAAATCCTACCTGTGTCATCTTTGGAGAATTACTTAACTCCTTCCAAGCTTCAGTTTTTCCTCATCTGAATGAAAGAGAAAATAATATCCCCCTTCCTAGTTTTTGTAAAGGAGCTAATCTATATAAATTAGCTGGTAAATGGCATCATGTAAGCACTCAGGAAATGGTAGCTATTAGGGATGTTGAGAATGATAGTAATGACATAATTTGTAATATAAGAACAAAAGTGAATTTGAAAATTTTGATCCTGTATTACCCAAATTACTATCCACTGTCATTTTACTGCTAGGATTTTTTTTTTTTTACAGATTCATGTGGCAGTTTTTAAATCTTTTTTTTTTTTTTTTTTTTAATTAAGTCATTCAGCATCTGAAGAAGCTTCGGGTTCAGACTCAGGCAGCCAGTCAGAGAGTGAGCAGGGCAGCGATCCAGGAAGTGGACATGGCAGCGAGTCGAACAGCAGTTCTGAATCTTCAGAGAGTCAGTCGGAATCTGAAAGTGAATCGGCAGGTTCTAAATCTCAGCCAGTCCTTCCAGAAGCCAAAGAGAAGCCAGCCTCTAAGAAGGAGCGGATAGCTGATGTGAAGAAGGTATCTGCTTTGCTGTACAGTGCAAATGTACTGCCAGCTAGGACCAGCTAGCAGACCTTTATTTCCCATGGAAAACTCATTAGTATATCTTGATAATGAAAACTACAGCCACCTCTTCTAATAATGTACTGTGTATGGATATAAATGCAGACTGCTCTCTGCTTTACCAATTGATATAGTGGATACAGGGCTATAAGGAAAATCATTACATGAACCATCAAATTATAGGACAGAAAAACAAATTTTTTATAGTTTTGGTTTTTAACTTTTAAAAAAGGCAGTTAAAATTATTTTTTTGTACAATACTGAATAATACCGGAGGGAATCATTGACAGATGATTGTTGAATGCAATTGTAAAGTTTAGCGATGGATAATTGTAATCCAAGAATAAGGGCAGTTTTTGTTACCTGAATAATGGAAGAGAAATACTTCCCACAGAAAAAATATGATCTGTACCTAGGCAGTGTAGGTATTCTTTGTTTAACACAGAAGAGTCTTCCAGCAAAGAATGCAAAAAGGCAAAAATTGAGTTGCATTGCGTTTTCTCATTGGTGCCCTTACTTAGGGATGCATTCCTTTTGGGGAGAAATTAATGACTTGGTCTAATTAATCATAAGAATGCAGCTCATCTTTTAAAATTCCATTTTGAAACCATTATGTTTGAATCACTGAAAATACAGAAGAATGTTTCTTTTAGAAATCTAAAAATAAAATGTCTTAATGAAATTAAGAGCTCTATGCTAAGTCAGTTTTTATTCTTTTTTTTCGTGAGGAAGGTCAGCCCTGAGCTAACATCCATGCTAATCCTCCTCGTTTTGCTGAGGAAGACTGGCCCTGAGCTAACATCCGTGCTCATCTTCCTCCACTTTATATGGGACACCGCCACAGCATGGCCTGACAAGCAGTGCGTCAGTGCGCTTCCGGGATCCGAACCCGGGCTGCCAGCAGCGGAGCACGCACACTTAACTGCTACGCCATGGGGCCGGCCCCCGGTTTTTATTCTTTTAAGATAACAAATCTACATCTGTGCACTCAGATTTTCATAGTAGTACAAGAGTACAAGTAGTACTCAGATTTCATAGTAGTATAAACAATTTTAAATTACCTGCATGTTCTACAGAATAGCTTCAAAAAACCTGAAATTAAAAAACAACTGCTTCTAACTCTTGAGACATAATTGGGATTAACTATGTTATTTCAGTTCTTCTGTTCCTAGTATAATCATTGCTTAATGGTAAATGACCCTTAGGGGCCCGTGGTAGGTTGGGGAATACTGATGGTAGTGTTAGGGATAGGAAAATGAAAGTTGTCCTTGCCAATTAACTCATCACCAGAGAAGTGAACTTCAGACACCCAAGTGTTGTTCCTTGTTGCCTGCTCAGTGTGTGGTGGACCTTTCACAAGAGACAATTCAAGTGGTGACTTAATTGCAGAAAGACCCTGCATATGTAGAAGTACTACTTAGACATCTTGCTGTGTCATTAAACTCCGAAATTTTTCACCCAGGCATGTAGCAGAAGGCCTTGCTCTGCAATCTTCAGAGCCTAATGTCTGAACCTGTACCTCTGTACTTCTACACTGGGTGCTCTTTCCAGAAGACCTCAACACGTTTTTGAATGAAGTATAATGGACGAAAATAAGTCTGGATATAACTTGCTTCTGTACAGTGGAGAGTTCTTTACATGTAGAGATTAGAAACCATGGCTTGCATAGTATTGCATAGTATGTTTAAAACTTTCTGAAATCATGTTGACTGGGTTTCACAACTGTTAACCAGAAGACGTTATGTATTTGACTTCATTTAAAAAGATGAAAGGGGAACTAAGAAAGAAGGGAAAGCATTACTAAGACAGAATTTTGAGATACAAGTATAGCTTCAGGCAGAAACATTAAAATATACTTTAAAAGTTAAGCTGATCAGTTCCAAGAAGTTAAAGTTAACACGTAGGTGGACATACTAGCCAGTCAGAATGATTAGATTGTGACTTGACTAATTATTATTCTAAACGAGAACTTCTAAAAAAGGTTTTTTTAAAGATGATTTTCTGTATACACGTCCCTTTCACATGGTAGCTTTTTCACTGAAGAGTTGAACTAGTTATCATTAGCCCCCAAAAGGACAAATATGAACACAAGATGATTTTAGGATGTAAGCATTATAGTATATACTGTAATAAAGTCCCAACAGGTAGCCTGAATGCTTGTCTAAAATTTTAAAATAAAACTAATTGATGTAGTGATATTTAAATAATTTAGCCACCGCAGTTAATAAAAACTCCATAAATAGCTGTGTTGAATAAAGTAATTTCATAGCTCTAGCAGAGATCCAAAAAGGAGTAGGGGTGGGAGTGGGAGTGTCTCCTTCCTTTCTCTGCCAGATTTGTTCAGTGTTCTGCATTTGCTGCATCTTCGCCTGTGTTTCCTACTACTTGGTTATTCCTAACTCCTTCTGGTTGAACCTTTTGTCCTCTGACTCTGGGATTATTCTAAGGCTATTATGGATTTTCCACCTTTATAAACTAAGGACACTGGATTACATGATTATGTTGGATTCTAGTCCTAGAATGCCTGTTCCTGGAACATCTTGCTTGGAACATCTTTTCTTTTGAGGCCTTGTTTTTCTTCAGCTTACTCTGGCATTTTTTTTTTTTTTTTTTGAAGGCACTGTTGATAGTGTCCTCCCTTGGCTTAGTGACATTGTGTTTTTCTGGGTCATCTTCCATCAGTTTTGTCTTTTGGGGTCTACTTTCCACACATTTTACCAATCGCAGCCAGTGGCTTCTCCTCTTGCCTCACTTTCTAAATATTTTCATGACGTTAGCTGTCACCTGTGTTTTGAGGACAAACCCACATTTTTAATCTTGGCTTTCAAGCATCTCTTCTACATGTTTAACTCCTGTTAAACATCTTCACTTCAGTGTTGCGTAATCTGTTCAAATTCATTTTGCGTATATGTGATTGATTTTATTACAAGAACAGTTAGCAGTAGTTATTTGTGGGAAGGGGAGTGAGGTTGGGGGTAAGACACTAGTCGTTAGAGGTTGAGGAAGAAGGAGGCTTTTACACTTTTTCTGTGGATTTGTTGGTTTGAGTCTTTTTATAACATGGTGTTAATATATTGTGAAAAAGATTTTTCTCTTCAACTAATCCCTTCTTTAAACTTTACTTTTTTGATCACTGGTGAGGATGGTTACTAAAAATCAGGTAAAGGCAAAGGGCTAATTACTGCTGGAGAATAAAATCAGGTGTATTAGAGGAAGGGTGGCAGTGGTTTTCACTTGGAGAACTTGTAGCTAAATGTTAGAGACACCTCATCAGTGTGGATCTGGCGTGTTACACGTCCTGAGGAATTTAAAGGGATACAAATACCCTGATTCTTATTTAATTGGACCTGGTGAGGCCCTGCTTGTTTTTTGAGTTTCTCAGGTGGGTCACTGTGCAGTCAAAGCTGCAGCTGAAAGCATTAGAGGACTTAATTCTTCAGTAAGTACTTTGTCCTTAGTGGAAGCAATTGTTCTCTTACCTTGCCAAATTATTCAGCTGTAAGTTTATATTTTAATGGTGGGTGGGCAGTGTACCACATAGTTTAATAGCTATTTAGCAATGAAGAGGCATTGTTAAACTTTAATGTGTGCAAGGATAATATGCCATATTCTTTTTGAAGAATGTATTTTATTGTCTCATAAACCAAACTAACAGAGCAACCCTTTTGATATTTAGTTACTTGAATTTTCTTAAATTGAAATACGTGTTCCAGTAATGAAAATAGTAAATGAGGGTCAAGAAAAAAAGATTCACGCGTGGTCTATTAATTTTACAGATGTGGGAAGAATATCCTGATGTTTATGGGGTTAGGCGGTCAAACCGAAGCAGACAAGAACCATCACGATTTAATATTAAGGAGGAGGTAAGAAAAAAAATATTTTAAGGGGATACATTTAAACTCCTTATCTTACCTCATCCTTTCCGACTCTGGTATGTATTACCATTAACAAGACTGAACTTCAGGCATGAGAATTAAGTGACTTTAATGTGAGCGTTCTCAACTTAGTATGGCAAGAAAAGCCACATGTGGCTTTTAAAAAAAGAATCTTAGCAGAAAGATCATGTCATAATAAATGTTTCAGTAGAGTGTTAGAGTATTATACAGAGCTGGCCTCAAATTTTTTTCTCTTTTTTGCATTTCTCACGGTGAAACATTATAGCAAGAAGTTTACTTTTTTAAATCTCTAGTTTCTGAATGTCCTCTATTTTGTTAAATGAGTCACTAACTTGGTGAACAAATATAATGATGGAAGTAGTTTCAGATTTATTTCTGAAAAAGGAAGGAGAGTTTGCTTAAGTAAAGTATTTTATCTTATTTCCTTAAATTTGGTTTCCTAGCTCATTTTTAGTTGTGCAGTGTGAAATGTTTCACACATATTTACTCTCTGATCTAATTGTGAGAGATTGAATAGATTGGTGATTTCTAAAATTAGTATTATGTACTGGGTTCTGTTGTTTCTGTAGAATCAGACTTTTCTCACCTGTCTCAGTTTCTGTGATTTTTTTTTGGGTTCTTACCTCTGTGTTAGGTTTATGGACCACATTCTGAAGAGATGTTCTTTTGTCTCTCAGTGAAATGTGCCTTCTCTGCATTCTTAGGAGGACTTGCTTTTCTTAACTATATAAAATCCTTTTCATAAAAGTTAAATATTAATAGCCAAAGGTTACTGGGTTGGGTTTTTAGTTAATGTACTTCAAAAATCTAATTGACCGTAACATCCGCATTGCATTTATGGTGTTTTATTTTGAGTGACCTCTGAACTGGTTTGCCTTAGCTTTCTTTTCCCATAGTGTCTAGGACTAGGTTACTGAGACGTTTGTTATAACCAATCACATAGTTGTGTAAATCTTTTCCTCTTTTGTACATAGATTAACACATTCTCTGTAGGACACAAGACTAACAGCAATAGGAGTAGTTTGCCATTTTGCTTAATTTTGGAGAAAAAGAGCTGTTCAGATGTCTCTATAAACTTTCCTTGGCCTAGCTCTGTCAGCAGAGCACTGTTGGCTCGTGACTGAACGTGCTCTTTAATGAGTTTAAAATGGAATAGATTGGTAGTCACTACCTTTAATGGTACATTAAATGTTGTGGCATTTTCATATATTCTAGATCTGCAGTACCCATTACCGTCACCACCAGACATGTGGCTTTTAAAATTTATATTAGTTAAAATGAAGTAAAATGAAAAATTCTATTAGTCACACTAGCCACATTTCAGGGGCTGAGTAGTCACATGTGGCTGCTGGCTGCTCTGTTGGACATTGCAGATACAGAACATTACCATCATCACAGAAAATTTTATAGGACTGCCCTCTTTTAGAAGTCAAGCTGAGAGATATTTCCTGGCGTTAGAGATAACTCAGTAATAACAGACAGACGTTAATTTTCAAAGCAAAACAAGGAGGAGCACCACCAGACAAATGCGTAAGTTTCTTTCTGTCTAAAAGCTCATATTGAATAATGTAATATTGAGTAGATTGTTGAACCAGGGCATAATGTTGTCCCCAAGAACTGTGAATTAAAGTCTGTAATCATTTTTCCCCTCTCACACACTGAAGGCAAGTAGCGGCTCTGAGAGTGGGAGCCCAAAAAGAAGAGGCCAGAAGCAGCTGAAAAAACAGTAAGTCTTTCATGGGGGAAATTATTTAATCTAGTATTTCCAAACGTGTCAGCACTTTTGGGACTGCCTTCATTGTGTCTTTAGTCTACCCTGGTCCCAGAGTCGGCTTCTGTCTCTTATCGTCTTGGGTTATTGTCCATCTTGACCTGCAGCTGCAGCAGCAGCATTTGAAGCCCCAGATTCTCAGTTTTATACATGTGAGTGTTCCACACGTGTCTTGGCTACTTCTTGGGGTAGACCCCCGCTTATTTCATCTGATAAGCCCAATTATTTTTTTCTTAAAAAATGTACACAAATACCAAATATATAGATATTTGGTGTTCTATCCTAGTTAAGCAAGAAATAAATTTAGATTTGCCATTTTTCATTTTCATTTGTTCTTTGTGTTGCCATGGCAAAATTATATTGGTTGGACACACATTTTGGTATTAAATTTCATATTATTTCCAAATAATTTTAATATTGAAATTCAAAAGCCAGAAACTTTTAATTCTTGGGCTTAATGTGAAATTCCTTTATGACATAGATTATACATTTATTATTTTTAAATTTATTTTAAAAATTCTACTTATGGTGAAAGAATACTTGATTTTTTTGAGAAATAATGAAAATACGTTTTTTGGAGTGCTGTGGATCCCTTTGACAATCTGAATTCTACAGCCTGTCTGCTCAGAATAATGTAGATATCAAAACTTGGCACACAAATTCAGGGGGTTCTTATGGTAAAAAGTTATCCATGGTCCCTATTAAAAGCGCTAGGTGCATATTCTCTATTTCCAAAAATTAGTAATCTTTAGGCCAAAAATTTGGCCTAAGGCAAAGTAATTTGAGTTTTTTAAACCCATTTCCTCATCTCCAAAATAGAGTAATACTTATTCTGCCGACCTAACAGAGTTACTAGAAACCATGCTAAGAAATTGCCCTTCCCAGAGCACATACAGTTTTCCTTTGTGTTTTAAATATTTAGTTAGAGTTGGAGAAATAATAAGTGTAGGCAAGCCTGCACTTCTTAGCATCCTAGAAGGCTTTTCTCTTCTTCTTTTCTTTTTGGTGAGGAAGATTGACCCTGAGCTAACATCCGTTGCCAATCTTCCTCTTTTTGCTAAGGAAGATTAGCCCTGAGCTAACATCAGTGCCCATCTGCCTCTATTTTGTGTGTATGGGATGCTGCCACAGCATGGCTTGATGAGCCATGTATAGGTCTGTGCCCGGGATCTGAACCCACGAACCCTGGGCCACCAAAATGAAGTGCGTGAACTTGACCACTACGCCACCTTGCAGGCCCCAGAAGGCTTTTGTCCCATGGGCCTGCTTGGGGGACTCTATTCTCAGCTTGCCTTTTGGGAATTCCATGCCTGTGCTCTTTCCTGCACCATCTAACTATTCTGCTGGTCTCTTGTCTGGGCTCTAAAGGGTGCTGTACTTGAAAACTGTGACTTCCCATGTTAATGATCTTATCTGGGTATGCAGAAGCCTGCATTTTTTCAGCCACTGTAGAACACATCAGACTTACTTTTTTGACTGGCTCCTATACTTATTTTCCCTCTCCTATCAACCCTAAGAGATCTCCAAAGTCGGCAACTCTCAGAGGCTCTCACGGATCTTGCTCGCTCCTGAGTAGAACCTCTTAGTTCCTTGTAGCGGAGTGTGTCTTCTGTAATGCTGCTTCCCTACCCCGCGGCTCTTCCTTAGGAACTTACCGGGAGCTGAGGTAGTTCCCCTCATGTTTGTTTGGCCACTGGGCTAGCCTCACTTCCTGCCATCCTTTGGGCAGCTGGTGAGTACTGGGGCTTATGAGAAGGTCTTCTCCTGAGTCAGTTTAATTATGATTAGTAAGACTAATTAGAGGAGGCCTGCAGCTGCTAAGACTCAAGTTGCAAGGGACAGCACTTGAAGGGGCCCTCTGTGTCTGAGCAAGTGTAGCAGAACCTAGTGTGTGGGCATATGAATTTCAGAATTGAGAGAGACTCGCTCAAAGGGGGTGGAAATTTTGAAATATTATTACAGGGAAATGGTTTTCTGAAACCCTGCAGATTGTACCACAGATTTTAATAGTTTTTAAAAAGAGCTTTTTTTCTAACCTTTTTTTTTTTTGGAATTAATGTCAAACTTAAGAAAAGCTGTAAGAATGAGAGAAGTACAAAGAATGCCTGTGTACTTGACCCAGATTTACCGTTGGTTCCAGTTTTGCCCCATTTGCTTAATCACTGTGGGTGCTCTCTTTATGTATATATATGCACACACAAAGTATTTTTTCTGAACCATTTAAGATTAAGATTCAGACATCATGGCCTTTTGCCCCTAAATATTTAAGTGTGTATTTCCTACGAATAAGGATAGTCTCTATCATAAGCACAGTACAGTTTTAACCTAAATAGATTTAACATTTTTGTCTAATTCATATTCCCACTTTGTCAATTGACCCAGTAATGTCCTTTCTAACATTTTTTCACCTCCACTACACATCCAGTCTAGGGTTAGATATTGTGTTAGTTGTCAGGTTTCTTTAATCTAGAGCGCTTCACAGCCTTTCTTTGCTTTTATGACATTGATATTTTTGAAGAATACGGTCTTACAAGGGATTAACTCCCCAGAGTCATAACGTGAATTAGCATTTTAAAAGCTTAGAAGAAGTTATACAGCATAACGTTCCTCCACAATATTGAAAACCTTTTTCGAATTAGTTGGCAACGTTGAAAATTGAGAGATGGTGCATAAGAATCTAGATTTCTACCTTCTTTTGGGAAAACCTGTCAGTGCTGGCCCACCTAACAGTGGTCTTTGTAAGCTTTGAGTGGGCTGTGAGTTCTCTTTCTGAACCCATTTATAATCCTTACCTGGCCCCAATGGGTAAGGATTGTAACCCCTGAGTTAAAAGACATACAAACAAAATTTTGAGTTTTATTTAACCCCCATGCTATTTTGATCATTGAACCCTTTTTCATGCATTACCTGTTAATGTTATCCAGATTTGTGAAATGTTGTATGGGATTTCTGCTGACTCATTGTGGTCCCAGTAGTACTTAAAGCCACTCTGTAATGGTTCAAGAACCCTTTCTTGCAACTGAAATTTAAAAAACTAGTTTAGCCATAATTTAGCCAAATAGAAGTTTTTCTCCTAGGATCATAGTTATTTCTTCCTTTCCAGTGTTTTGAATTGGGAGTCTATTCCAAACCTGTGACACAAAGGAATAGAATCCCTATTAGCCCCGGATTTCCCTTCTTCATTGGAACTTGCTCCTGAAAGGCATCGTCTCCAGGAAAATCTAGTGAAGATCAATGAAGTTAAAGCAGCTTTTTCCCTTTTTTCCTGGTCTGCCTTCTAAAGTGGAGGAGAAAGGAATTCTCTTCTTTGGGCTCTTAGAGACAGTTAATAGGAAACCTCAGCGACTCTTGGCCAGAGTTTAGGCCCGTTTTATTTAAAAATGGCTTTTGTTCATTCCCTCCTTTACGTTGATTTAGATTTGATTTGTGTGTCTCAGGATTTGTGTCCTGCCAACCGCTTTTTCCCAATAAAGGAAGAAAACTGTACCCAGTTAGCTTGCATTCTGACTTTTTCATGTCTATTTACATTACCTTGGGGCCTCAGTGGCCAAATCTTGGTATTTTTCTCCCCAGTTCCCAAGATTTTGGCAAAAATTCCATTGATTCCCTGTTAGGTATATTCCATTGATGTCCTCTTAGAGCTGGATCTGGCAATTCAAGTCTCCTTTTTTTTTTTTTTTTGGTGAGGAAGATCAGCCCTGAGCTAACATCCACACCAATCCTTCTCTTTTTGCTGAGAAAGACTGTCCCTGGGCTAACATCCGTGCCCATCTTCCTCCACTTTATATGGGACGCCGCCACAGCATGGCCTGACAAGCGGTACATTGCTGCACGCCTGGGATTCGAACCTGGGCTGCCAGCAGCGGAGCACGAGCACTTGACCGCTACGCCACGGGGCTGGCCCCCTCAAGTCTCCTTTAATTTAACATAGGAAAAATTTTTTGATCACTGTCTTCTATTTTAGACTCCTCTTCATTGTAGCCTGGCTTACGATATATGTCTTAGTCAGGGAGCCTTCCTCATAAAATTTGCATTATATCAGAAGCCAGTAATCTAGGAATGGACAGCAGTTTCACACGTCAGAGAGCCCTGTACATCTGCAGGGTCAGGAAGTAATCTTTTTGTAACTAATCTCTCTTTTCTCTTCATCCCTTACACAAAGTGACTTAGTATTGCTGATCCTAACTTACTTTTTTTTTCCTGTTCTTGAAAATTAAAACAAATTTAAAATAATCCAACCAATTTCAAATATACATACACACAAACTCACTTAGGCCTTTTAAGCCTCTGAGTGTTCAGATCCTCCCACGATGTGTAAGCCTAGCTTTAGTTTTTCCTGATTCTTTGGTCTTCAGTGAGTTATGATTGAGAGTAGTAGAGCTGGGAATTTCACGGGTAGCCAAACGGCTTATTCTCGCTTGGGCATTAGTTTCCTTCTCTAGGAGGAGGGCTTTGGATCAGCTGATATGCTATGTTTTTTTACATTCTAATATTAGAAGGTTCTAATTCCTCCTGGTTGACCATAAGTCTATAAATCTGCAATTTAACTGGAAAACTCTAGCCTCAACCTCCATTCTCTCAGTGTTGACTGCCATTTTAGTCTCCTAAAGTTGTAGAAGTGGACCTCATTAGCTGCCCTGATTTAGAGTCTCAATTCCTGGTGGAGTTACGTAAGTTACAACTAATGCTTGACGTAGATCTTTGTCATCTGATCTACTCTCCCTTAAGTCTTAATTGTTCATGTTCTTTCAAGCTTGTTTCCTGTGAAACCACTTCTCCCCAGTTTGACTGTGTGAACCCCTTCTAAAGGGTAAACTGTTCTGGACTTGGTCCAAGGGAGATTGCAGCCTCATGTGCCAATCTCCCAGTTGCTGGAGACATCTTCCTTTCTTCCTTCTTGGCTATCACCTTCTATTCCTTGGATTCTTTAGCAGACATTTATTGTACTAAGCTCTAGGGAAGAAGAATAAGACAGGTGCCCAGATTCTAGTTAGATATAAGGAGGTCTTTGTTTTAAAGAGAGACTGAAGTATATTAGACAATACTAATAGGCTTTAGTGTCTTACCAGTCTGCTTCAAAAAGCACGTTACCTGTCTGACTGATAGACCAATATGGCTCATTCTTTAGCTAGTTATTTATTTAACAAAAGGAGTATCTCCATTTGCCTGCCTTTGTGCTAAGTTCTAGCATAAAGATGAACAGAAATGGCCCTCCCCACAAGGAGTCACCTCCTCTGAGGGGGTATGAAATAAACAGTGCCGGTAGAACTTGAGTAATGTGCATAAAAGTGCTTCACTGGTTTTTCATGGAAGGCTTGAAAATTTTTTTTCCTTGAGACTCCACTAATTCAGGTGTAGGGCAGCTTCTACTTTTAGGAAGGTTCTCAGGCATCTGCACATCAGCCACCTTTTTGCAGCAAGCTTCTACTGTTACTTTGACCTATCTCCCATGAAGAATATTGACTTGACTTTGCAATTCTGCAGCAGTTGTCTTTTGTGTAACCTCATTTCCTATGCACAGACCGAGAGTCACAGTGGTAATTGTTTTGTTTACAGAGAAACCCCAGGTACTTACCTGTAAGGCTTCTTTTCCTAGCTATTTCATGCCCAGTAGCTGTTATATGTTCCTTCCTTCTTCCCTACAGGTGAGAAGTGAGCTAAGTCCCTGTGATATCTGGTTTGGTCTTTAAGTAAACTTTAAAAATTGTTTGGGGAATAGTAGGACACCTATAGGGTATATCTCTTTCAAGCCTTCTAAGATCTCAAGGAGCAAAGGAACACCTACTGTATCTACTAATTACTAAGAACTACATCTTTAGCTGAACGGATTATTTGGTAGGTGGTAGGTTTATCCTTGAAAATAATTTTAGGGATTGTATCCTTAAATATATTAGTCTAAAGATGTTAAAATATCTAGTATAGTAGTATACTAGATAGTAGTTTTCAAAGAAGTCTCTAACCAGTATCAGCATCATCTTGCATTTGTTAAAATTCAAACTTTTAGGCCTCACATTAGACCTACTGAGTCAGAAACTGTGGCTGTGGCCCAGAAATCTGTTTTAATAAGCCCTTCAGGTGGTTCTGATCCACGCTAAAATTTGAGAACCACTGATCCTAGTGTATATTATGGCTTCAATCTTGTCAATGATAGTAGTAAATCAAAATAAAATGTGAGAGATTTAACAGCATTTTTTTTTTCAGAACAAATAGTTTAAAAAATACATCCTTAGTTCCAATTTTCATTTATTTTTGTTATCAGGGATAAAATAGGAATAGATACATAGTCCAGGAAGGAACACAACCAAAATTTAAATGGAGCTATAATAGATCTCTTTTAGCATAATATCTAAAATATACATAATCTGCCTTTTGGGTAATCAGATCAAAATTAGTTTTGTCAGATTCTTCAAGCTAAACAATCTTGAATTTATTTTAGAAAAAAATTATTTTGCTTTGCTTTTGATCACAGAGAAAAATGGAAACGGGAGCCCTCAGAAGATGAACAGGAACAAGGCACCAGTGCAGAGAGTGAACCAGAGCAAAAAAAAGTGAAAGCCAGAAGACCTGTCCCCAGAAGGTGCAGTGTTTGCTCAAACATCTCTGCTTCTGGTTGAGCTTAATTTGTGTTAGATTGAGGAAAAGGATGCAGTGCTAGGAGGAGAGCCTTAATTGATAGGATACAAAATGTTGTGATTCTAGGCTTTGAATGTCTATGGTTCACTTCTTGCCAGCCTACATTGTTAGCAAGTGATTAGATGACTGGGCTACTTGTGTTGATCATGGGTGTTTGCATGGTATGTAGTTCAGAGTGAATCTTACTGTTTCTTACTCCATGGCAGACTAGTTTAGAGGGGCCAATGTATATTCCACTTTTAAAAAAAGCTCCTTGTGTATTTGACTAGTGTACAGCTTCTTTTTGGGAGAACTAATTCTTAAGTTTAAAACACTGTTTGGCGGCCGGCCCCATGGCTTAGCAGTTAAGTGCATGCGCTCTGCTACTGGCGGCCCGGGTTCAGATCCCGGGCGTGCACTGACGCACCGCTTCTGCGGCCATGCTGAGGCCGCGTCCCACATATAGCAACTAGAAGGATGTACAACTACGACATATAACTATCTACTGGTGCTTCAGGGGAAAAAAAAAGGAAGAGGATTGGCATAGATGTTAGCTCAGAGCTGGTCTTCCTCAGCAAAAAGAAGAGGATTAGCATGGATGTTAGCTCAGGGCTGATCTTCCTCACAAAAATTAAAAAAACAACACTGTTTGGCTGGTTAAAAGCATACCACACTGTTTATTACCTTTTTCATATAATCTATATGACGTTAGCGGAGAATCTGATTGTGCGGAGAAGGAAGTAGGCTCAGATGGCAGGAAACTTTGGAATTTTTGATGAGACAGATGGCAACATAGGGTACTGGTGATGGAGAAAGAAAGGCAGGAGGCGGAGAGGCCCCAGGAAAATTTACCTCCTTGCAATATTGCTTACGATGGGGTTGGCAAGCTATTGTCTTTGGGCCAAATCCCAGTTACCACCTATTTTTATATGGCCTGTGAGCTAAGCATAGAGTTTATAAAGGGACATTTATAGTTTGATAATAGGGAAACACTGAATTTAAACCCCAACTAAGTGAAATATTATCCCTTCAAAAAGAATTCTGTTCTCATTAGTAGATATGTATCACAAAAAATGTACTTGATTATTATTTATTTTGAATTTTGTCAATAAAAAACGATCTCATCTCGTTATATAAGTACCTATGTAGTGGCTTCACTTTTGCTTCTTGTCCAGCAAAGTGTAAAATATTTACACTCTGGCCATTTACAGAACACATTTGCCTACTGCTGGCTTAGGACATTGTGTCTGCCTCTCGACCCTGACCCCTCACCCCGTCAAGGAAATTCACCGACTAAGTTTTGTCTCCTTTTGTCTAAGTTTAAGCTCTCAGGACTGGAATGTCACTCTAGTTGTCTTGTTTTACCCATCATTTATTGAATCCATAATCATCTTATCTGTGTAGCTATGGTTTCTGTAGATAGGAGAAAAACAGATAGATGTGATTGTGAGTTTCTGTCTCCCTCTTTCTCTCTTCACCTTTTTATCACTGATAAAAGAGTATTTGGGGATTTCTTTAGGAGTGTTCCTAAAGTGTGGCTCTCAGTCCTGACTGTGTAAGGAAGTCACTAAGGGGCCATCTGAGTCCTCAGTCTGGTCCGTAGTCTGTGGCAGGGCACAGTCTCAGAGGTAGTCTTCCAGGTATACTTAATGCACGTATAAGAAAAATATACGTGTAGTTATTGCTTGTCTTTTACTCCGTTTATACAGTTGGTAGCATTCCATGCATCTTATTTGTATTCTTCTTTCATTATCTTGGAAATCTTTGTATATCAGTACATGGAAAAACTCCCTTGTTCTTTTTTTATGGCTACATAGTATTCTGTTTTTTGAAGTAGTTCCCAGTTAATGACCATTTAGAGTTTTTCTAATCTTCTGTTATTGTAAATAATACTACAGCGAATCTCTTATCATCCCTGTATTGGTGTATATCTGTAAGATCAATTCCCAGAAGTAAAATTGTTGTATTTGTAAGTTTGATGGATATTTCTAAATTGTCTACCAGAGAGGTACCATCAGTGACATACTGTATTGTGTATTTTTATGTCAGGTGACCTTGAGGAACAGTTGAGAACCATTACTTCAGAACCCACTTTATCTTCTATAAATGATTGAGTCTTATCAACATTAGAGTCACTTTCATGCTGAAAATGCATATTTCTAATAAATTAGAATCTCAGGGAATGGGAGTCAGGAATATACATTTGTAACATTCCCCTGGTGAATCCTGTTGAATGTAACCCTTGCTCTGGGAAATAACTATTATATAGATTTGAAGTAGACACCAAATGATAAAGTAAAAACTTTGCCATTTTTTTCTCTTTTCATTTTAGAACAGTGCCCAAACCTCGTGTTAAAAAGCAACCTAAGAATCAGCGTGGAAAGAGAAAAAAGCAAGATTCTTCTGATGATGATGATGAAGACGATGAAGCTCCAAAAAGGCAGACTCGTCGCAGAGCAGCTAAAAATGTTAGGTAGGTTATGCCCCAGAACTTTTTCATTAGCATGAGAGTGATATTGTAGTTATTAGAACTTGGTTCTGATAAGTCCAGGATTATGCATTTCATAGGCAAGAATAATGAGCTGTGGAAGCTCCAAACATGACTCTGGTCATTCCAGCTAGTTCCCAGACATTCAAGTCAACCTTTCTGGGCCCTAGACGTAATGGAGCAGAGATAAGCCATCCCGAGTATTCTGAATCTGAAATTCTGACGCACAGAATTATGAACAAATAAAATTATGAACAAATAAAATTGTTGTTGTTATTGTGGTTTTAAAATCGATGTCCTGAGGTTGTATTTGGAAATCTGGTCAGTGTTCTTGCAAAAAGAATGGTATTGGCCAATGGGAATATGGAAGGAGTAGCATAGCTCATTTTAAGCCTTCATTCCTGTAAAGAGAAGTGCTTCAAGTTCACGTCCTGTCGAGGTGGCTTAGTGACGTTATCTTCATTTCACAATATCCTTTTACAGGAAAGGTGTTTGGATTGTATTCTCACTTGTGAATTGCTCTTTGAATCACACCAATTCTTCTGAAGTTCAGCATTTGTATTGATATTTGGGTAGAGTAATTTTATCAAGCTTACTAATAAGATATGAAGCATTAGTAGAAAATCAAATAAAGGAATATATAATGCCAACATTAATATTTTACTTTATGTGAATCAAAGGACATTAAATTTTCTTTCAGAGGCCATGCAGGCTTCTTTTGGTCTACTTAGAGATGGTGAAACTGAGTCCTGGAGATACTGATTACCTGTTCAATGTATCCAGTTAATCATTCCAAAGCTAAGGATTATGCTTTGAGTGTACTAATGTATAGCTTAGCACTTTTTCTTCCTACAACTGTACTAATTTCTCTTGTGTGACTCTCAAACCATTTGTTGTTAATATAAGGTGGTAGGTTACATTTTAATATCTTATTACCAAGAAGTATGTTTATTGAAGTTTTCAACAGTTTGAGAATACTTAAATTTCATATTCTTATTATTAGGAGACAAAAATACAGGGTTGAAACATTTATTTAATCTTAGAAGTATTGCTTCTCTTTTGCTGGGGAAATAGTAGCAAATTTTTTCATTCATATTATGCGTTTTCTTACTTTGTAGTTTTCTTATTTACATAGTAGTGATGTCATTAAAAAATGAAAACTTAAGAGTGTCCTTGTAGTTTTCTATATCTTGCTTACACAAATTACTACAAATATAGTCTGCTTTTATTTTGAAATATGAGTTAGCCTTTCTGCAGTTATCTATGAACATACATCAGTACTTTTAGGGAAAAAAATGTACTTTGTGCCCACTGATTCTGTGGCTAATCTGTAAAATACCATGTTGGAGCCAAAAGGGTACGGTTCCTTATTCTGATGATGTTATGTATGGTGGTGTTTAATTCTGAAAAAACAGTTTCTTATTTATTCAGCATTATTCCTCATGCAGTTACAAAGAAGATGATGACTTTGAGACTGACTCAGATGACCTCATTGAAATGACTGGAGAAGGAGTTGATGAACAGCAGGATAATAGTGAAACTATTGAAAAGGTCTTAGATTCAAGGCTGGGAAAGAAAGGAGGTATGTGTTTTTGGGAATCAAATTACTTTTTATACCTGCTCAGTGAGGCCCACATTTTATGTATGGTAACTCTGAAGTGATGAGTTTCCGTCCATGCCCATATTTGTTGGGAAATGTGGAAGTTTTTTTGATCCCTTGTTTATGTTTCAGAGCTGAGGATATAGGGATGTGTCCAATATGTCTTTGAGGTTTTTTTTTTTTTAAATTTTTATTTGTTTGTTTATTTTTCCCCCAAAGCCCCAGTAGATAGTTGTAGGTCATAGCTGCATATCCTTCTAGTTGCTGTATGTGGGATGCGGCCTCAACATGGCCGGAGAAGCAGTGCGTTGGTGCGCACCCGGGATCTGAACCTGGTCCGCCAGTAGCGGAGCGCGTGCACTTAACCGCTAAGCCACGGGGCCGGCCCTGTCTTTGAGATTTTAAAATTAACGTAGTAAAGATAAGTGTTAATGTTTTAAAAAGTGGTAATGTAGCAGAGAAACTTGCTTATTAACATTAAGCAAATCTACTTTTAGTTAGTTGTTTCTGAATTTCCTTGTGAAAAGTATCAAATTTGATTAAATATGTATTTGGACAACAGTGAAGACTTTTTTATATCCAAATTGAGATATCTCATAATTCAGTTGCTTTAAAAGTAACCTTTCTATAAATGAAATATCAAAATTAATGCCTAATTCCTTTTTCTTTGTCTTTTTTTTCATCTAGCCTTATTTGACGTTAAGGGAGTTAACAGAGAACTTTGGGTGGATGGCTCTATTTGGGGGGGAGATTTTTATTTTCTTACTTTGTTCTTAATATTCCTAGAAAGACAGATTTGTTTTCTGAGTTAGTAGGGATCAAAACAAAAGGATGTTACTGTTCATTTTTATTGTGTTTAGACACAAAGATTTCTGTGATTTCACCTGCAAATTTGGAATACATTTTAAAGTGTAAAGATTGGGTTTGCATTTTGAAAATATTTGAAATTATTGATTTTGTTCATCCTGTATTGTTTGTGAGTTTCTGTTTATGTCAAGTCAAAGTATTTTGGTGCTTCATCCAAAAAGAGACTCTTTAGACAATTAACTTGGGAAGGTTTTCAGTGTCTGGTTTAATATACTTTTTAAAGTTTAACTGAATCCTTTTGCAGCCACCGGAGCTTCTACTACCATATATGCAGTTGAAGCCAATGGAGACCCTAGTGGCGACTTTGAGACTGAAAAGGATGAAGGGGAAGTCCAGTACCTCATCAAGTGGAAGGGTTGGTCCTATATCCATAGCACGTGGGAGAGTGAAGAATCGTTGCAGCAACAGAAAGTGAAAGGCCTAAAAAAACTAGAGAACTTCAAGAAGAAAGAGGATGAAATCAAGCAATGGTACATTTTCCATCGTGGATTAAAGAAATATATTTGTAGCCTGAGGAAAGGGAGGGGTTTTTTAAATAATGCATGGAGAACACAGCTATTTAGGATTTCAGATTTTGCCTTGATCATCTGAATGGGGAGCTATCCACAATTCCATTTTATAAAATTGTGACATCAAGACACTGTATATTTTCGTATATGGCCACAAGGTTTGTAGAGTTTAATAATAACTAGCTTATGGCGCATTTTTCACACATGATCTCCTTAATCCTAACAATAAGCCTGTGATATTTATACCATTGTACAAAATTTATAAGTGGGAAGAGTGAGGTATGGAGCAACTCTGCAGGTGGACCCAGGATTGGAATTCCGGCAGCCTGAGTCCAGAGCTAATGTTCTTAAGCACCTTGTTATTTTCCTGTGGTTATGCTGGGGTAGCTTTGATGTCAGTAGTTAATATTCTAGAACTCTCTGGGTTATGATACACTTAAAACTAATTTTGGTTGTACACAATTTGTGGAAATGATGTGATGGAAACTATTAGATAAGTTCTGAAACTGATAGCCCACTGTGGTTTTAGTTTACTTATAGTCTTGAATGTGTGAGATTGCATATGAGAAATACGTGGGGCTACATACAGCACAGACAAACCTAAACTGACTATTATTAGTCATACCTGAAGACGTACCTGTCTATAGTATAATGTGATCATGTTATTTTGTGTTAGGAATAGGGACAGATGGGTTCTAATTCCCATTTTACCATTATGCAAAATGTGCTACTTAGTAAATCACTTCGTTTTCCTTTGAGTGAAAAATAAAAATTTGTATCCCTAAGATAGGGGTAGGTTGTAAAGCAATTAGAAATTTAAAATCCTCACAAGTAGAGTAATATCTGATTTCAGGTTCCTGCGGTTGTCCTTTTTTAGAATTTTGGTGCTAAGAATAACTAGTTTTCCCAAAAAGCCACATTTAATCATTCCTAAAGCTCATATATGAAAAAAGGCATGTTTTCTTTTAAATCTGGAAGATGGTTTCATTGTCCTGGTCTGTTTAGATATATGAATTTATCACACAAAATAGTTATTTTTAGTTTTCTTTATAAATAGGCCACATCAGAGAGGAGAACGACTGGTGTGTCCTATGAGTCTAAGGTTTTCAGTGTTTTCCAAGAATGTATGTTGTTTTGTAAAATCTCTGGCCTAATTACTAGTAAAAGATTATCAAAGGGACAGGTGGAAGTAAAAACTGAGTTTCCTTTTCTACCTTTGACTTTACTTTGATGGATGTGTATGGATCCCCCAAATCTAATTAGTGTGTACTTTTTCTATCTGTCTTCTGTCCAGGTTAGGGAAAGTTTCTCCTGAAGATGTGGAATATTTTAACTGCCAACAAGAGCTGGCCTCAGAGTTGAACAAACAGTATCAAATAGTAGAAAGAGTAATAGGTAAGTACGTGGCAACTTATTTTAGCAGTGTTTGGGCTCCAGGAATAATGGCTTTTGCTTTTGGGAGTAACGTAAATTAAAAAATGTATCTTGTAGGTTTACTTTTTGAGAATAGACAGATGCCTAGGTTTATTTTGAAGGAAAAGCTAACAAAATTTGTTGGTAAATTTGGATGTGGGGTAATGAGAGAAAGAGGTGTCGAGGATGATGCCAAGAGTTTTGACTTGAGCAAGTAGGAGAATAGAGGTACCATTTACTGAAATGGAACGATAAGGGAAGAGCTGATTTTTGGAGTGGAAATCAAGAGCTTAGCTTGATATTTGTAAGTTTGATGTACTTCTTAAGTCATCTAAGTGAAGAGCATTGTGAAGGCTGTAGCGTATGTGAGCCTGGAGTTTAGAACCCTTAGTCTGGGCTAGAGATTTAAATTTGGGAATTTATCAGTACATAGATAGTATTTAAAGCCTACAGATACTATTTAAAGTATATAGATAATATTTAAAGATTTAATGACGTCATTAGAAATAGTATATGTGTTGGGAATAGGAAGTCTGAGAGCATTCCAGTTTTTGGAAGTCAGGAAGAAACCAGCAGAAGAGACTGAGAAAGGACAGCCAGTGAGATAGGAAGAGAGCCGAGAGAGTGGTGTCTGGAAGCTGAGTGATTCACATGGCTCGGGGAGGAGGAAATGCTGCTAGTCAAATACAGTGAAGGCTGAGACTTAATCCTTGAATTTGGCAATAGTTATGGCACTGGTGAAATGGATCCATGGAGTAGTGGGTCTGCAGGCCTGATTGGAGTGGCTTCAAGAGAGAATGAGGCTGACAGTGAGTAAAAACAGCTCTCCTAGGGAGTTTTATTGTAAAGGGAACAGACAAATGGGGTAGTCACTAGACAGGGCTGTGAGAACAAGACCATTTTTTCTTTTCTTTTTTTCAAGTTGTGGAATGGTAGAATATATTTGTATTCTTAGGAGCTAAAATGTCACTCTTTTATTGATTATAGTAATAACTTTCTATCTTATTTTCTATATTTTTAGCTGTGAAGACAAGCAAATCTACACTTGGTCAGACAGATTTTCCAGGTGAGCAAGGTTTATAAATGTTGTTTAGCATTTAAGAGCAGTTTGTATTTTGCAGAGTGTTTATGGTTTTACCACATGGTGTTTCATTGCTTATATGTAGAACAGAATATCACACCCCTCTTGTAATTGACAGTTGCTGACCTATAAGTTTTTATATGTGAAATAGCTCACAGTCGAAAGCCGGCACCTTCCAATGAACCTGAATATCTATGCAAATGGATGGGACTGCCCTATTCAGAATGCAGCTGGGAAGATGAAGCCTTGATTGGAAAGAAATTCCAGAGTTGCATCGATAGCTTTCATAGTCGGAACAACTCGAAAACCATCCCAACAAGAGAGTGCAAGGTGTGGTGATTGCTGGCTTTTGGTTTTCAGGGGAAGGATGTGCTGATACAAAGAGTTGGTCACATAGATATTGGGACGAGAAAAATATTACAAAAGTAAATGATAATTCTCCTTTTGAAGTGAAAAAAGATGACTTAACCTTGACATCAAAGAAAAATAATTATAAAACAAAAGGAGAGAATGAATTGTGTAACGGCTTTGCTGACTTCTTTAATCTTGTAATTTACAGAATTAGGTGTATCTAATTAGAAATATTGTGGAGAATACTTGAAAGAATTTGAGCACTTTAAGAGAAGTGACAGGAAAGGGGAGTGTCTCTGAATTCTAAGTTAGAAACTAAATATATAGGCCTTTTTATTTGCTAGATTAGTTGTACAAATCCTTTTCCTTTGTTGGAATTCATTCCATATGTAAAGTGGTATGCTTGGGTCCTCAGTAATAGAAGAACATGTAAGACATGGGCTCTGTCTCTGAGAAGTTGACGTTCAGTTCATGGCACTAAGCTTCGATCTGAAAAGCAGTGTGTAGTTGAGGGTCAGTGAGTGTGATAAAAAACGTGGTCAGAGAGGTACAGAGGTAGAAGTCACTGAGCTCCAGTAATCATTGAAGGGTTTTTTGTTTTTTTTTTTTGTGAGGAAGGTCAGCCCTGAGCTAACATCTGTGCTAATCCTCCTCTTTTTTTTTTGCTGAGGAAGACCGGCTCTGAGCTAACATCTATTGCCAATCCTCCTCCTTTTTTTTTTTAACCCCAAAGGCCCAGTAGATAGTTGTATGTCATAGTTGCACATCCTTCTAGTTGCTGTATGTGGGACGCGGCCTCAGCATGGCCAGAGAAGCAGTGCATGCCTGGGATCCGAACCTGGGCTGCCAGTAGCGGAGCGTGCACACTTAACCGCTAAGCGATGGGGCCGGCCCCATTGAAGGGGTTTTAAAGAGGAAGTTGTGGTACTTGAACTACCCTGGTCCTTGAAGAATGGATCAGTGCGTAGACAAACAAAAGGGGGCCTGGGTTATTGCTCTCCCATGAAAGATATTAAGAGAAAGATGTTCTTATAGTGCAGTAGGAGGAGTACCAGACCTCAGGGCTGGAAGAGAAGGGGAGGTGATGTTGATGAATGCATTTAGGTCAAAGTGTGTGTGTCTTGAATACCTTGAAGTATGTTTTGATTTTATCCTATGGGTATTGATATGCCTACCCTACTGAGTAGAGCAACAGGATGGAAACAGTATTTTATTTAGAAAGCTTCATCTAATGGCAGGGTATAGGAGACTCTCAAGTAAGCAGTTACTAAAGCTAGAAGGTCCAGTCAAGAAGATGTCATAGAAATCCATGAAGGAAGAATTAATGCGAGGACAAGGGAAGTAGCGGTGGGAGCGGATGAAAGAAGCATTGGGGAGACTTGGCAGAAGTAGACAGCCGGTTTTTGGTGGGTGAGAGTGAGGAGTCAGATTCCATTTACTGTTGGGCGCTCACAAAGAAGAGCTGAAACTGTCAGTAATTTCCTTATCAAATACACTATTAGGATGATACTTACAATAGGGCACTAATTCCATAGAGTGCTAATCTTCAGAGAAATGCTCCCTGAAAAAAGACTTTTGTGGCCAGATAATTTTGGGAAGCATTCCTGAATGAATTTCTCCTGTGAATTCACAATATACACAAGCATGTTAGACTTTGAAAAGTCATGAGTAATGAAACTTATATAACTTTTTAATCCATTGTTTCCCAAACTGATTTGGCCACAGAATTCACATTTTGTGCAAACCGTAGAGACATAGCTTTACTAGACTGCTATTCTTCATACCTTTGGAGGTGAAAACAGCTTCTTTTCTTCAGAAAACCAAACTCACATAGTTGGGGGTTCAAGGTAGATGGGCTGCATTTCAGAATTTACAAATGCTATTATGGTAAAGTTCTGCTGCATTTAGCGTATACAAACTTTCCCAGAAGCATTGTTTTGTGCTATTTAGAATAAGACAACATAAAGATAAAAATAGGAGACTCACTGCCATACAGTGGAGACAATGTAAAATAAGTGCTACTTAATGATATTCACAAACTTCTTAGGAAAGGAGCAAGTTAACTAAAAAATATTTTGGGACACACTCTGCCTTTGGGAATATAGAACATGGTGAGAACACGGTGAAAGGATTTGTGGTGGGGTGGGTGGAGTTGGTGATTCAGATGTGCTATTTAAATTTTTACTTAAATTTAATCTGCTTTGGAACAGATCATGTAAATCATGGCTAGCATTTTAACACAGGAACAGGAAGAAAGTTTTCTTCAGACCTGAACTTTGTTAATTTTTGTTTTTCAGGCCCTGAAGCAGAGACCACGATTTGTGGCTTTAAAGAAACAGCCAGTATATTTAGGAGGGGAGAATCTGGAGCTCCGTGATTATCAGCTAGAAGGTCTCAACTGGCTTGCTCATTCCTGGTGCAAGTAGGTAGAAAAATATGTTTGAAATTTTCTTTACTGTATCTGGCTTCTTTATTGTTAGATGCAAAGAATTACTTCTTTCTAGTGTATATTATAGAAATAAGAAAATTATGTGATTGAGAGAAATCCCTTCTAGGAGTTTTTATGTATGTGTAAGACCATTTTAATCTGAAGTAAAGAGTACTTTGTTATTTAGTTATTTGGGGGTAATTTGTCATAGCCAGAGACCTATGTTGTAATATGTTATTCGTGAGTATAAATAATAAATAGCAAGATAATTTTGCCCAAATATTTGGTGTGAAAGGAATTACTCTCAGAAGAAAGAAGAAAATGTCTTTTTTCCATTCATTTTCTTTTTAGGAAACCTTTAACTTAATTTCCTATAGCAGTGATGAAGAGTAGTGTGATTTTTTTTTCCCCCCCTCCAACCTGAGATTGCTATACCGGCTACCCCATTTAGAGGAAGGTCTCTTGATGGTTGAGCCTGTGAAGTTATCCTTACTTTTTGTAACAAGACCACCTTAATCGTGGGAAAAAAAAGAGAGAAAGAAAGATGAGACAGTGATAGCACTTGAGGTTTAGAGGTACTTTGAGGCAGCACTCATAAATTTTATTCACCAAATTCAATTGCAAATTCAAGTAGTCCGTAAGTACCATGTATTAAGGACCCATCTAGGCCTTTGAGAATTTAGCGGTGAACCAAGACAGATGTGATTTCCCTCCTCACAGAGTGGACAGTGTGCGAGGTACCTTTAATGTCTCTCTTACACATTCCTTCCTCCACATGCACACTCTTAATTTCTTCAGTGTTGTATAGTAAAGCACAAATTCTTATTTCAGAATTAAACTACAGCCTGGAAAGTAAAACATTCGAACTTCTTTTCTCAATGCTGAAAAGATGGTTTCTAGTTGAAAGAGATACATTTACAATGACTGTTTCTCAATTGAACCACCTGCTTTGTCTTTGTCCTATAAAATCTAATACATTATTTAACATTCACTTATGAAAATTAGAGTTCTTGAGCAGATGCAGTTTGTATGACTGAGAATGATGTAACTATTCTAAGTTGCTTGAAAACTGTTTTTGTTTGAGAAAACTATTTCTGTTTGAGGGAGACCTAATCTTCCCAAAAGATAGTTATAAAGCTAGGTGGAACCTTAAGGAGTTGTGTAATCTAACCCTCTCATTTTACAGTTGAGGGCTCTTTGGAACAAAGATGTCATGTACCTCCAAAGTCATACTGTGTTTCATGTAGAGTCCTTGGCCAGCATTTTTATTTTAAACTGACCAATTCAGAATGAACTGAAAAGGGCCCACGTGGCTGTGAGGCCCTGGTCACAGGAACCTTACATTGAGTAACGTGCTGTTTCAGAAAAACAGGCTCGTCAATTCAAATCTACTTTAGTGTGTGTATATGGACAGTGGCAATTTGCTGGGGAGAGGAAATGTTGGAGAAAATTAACCCTGTTTCCTCCCCAGTAGTGTGGAAGGTGAAGAGAAATATGAGGGTAATTTTTAAAGGAATACGCTGTATCTGAACAGTAACTAAAATTAAGTGTACCTGAGATTTATAGAGGTGTGGCCTCCTCATTCTCCCTTCCCCCAGTATACTGTGCCTTGTTCTTTTCTGTACTTTTTCCCTAAAACTAGCCATTCTGTGGAACATAGAATGTATTTTTAAAAAATTTAATCTCTTCGTGAATTAAATGTCTTGCTTTTCTGATTTATTAAGTTGTCTTTAACTTGTATATTACTTTTAGTTGTCTCTGTTCACTGATTATGTATTATATATGTGTAAACCTTCAGTGACCTGATTTTTCAAGAACCTTTTAATGTTTGAAACCTTATGTCATACGTGTATTCCTAATTTCCTGCCAAACGGGCTATTTTCTATTTCCTGAACACACTTTCCTAATTCTGGCCATTTCTTCAAATTTTTCTTATGTCTGGATAATCCTTTCCTATTAGTATCCTGTTGAAATCCAGCCCATCTCCTAGAGCAGTGTTTCTCAAAGGAATATACCTGCATCAGAATATCCACGAGTGCTTGTTAAAAATACAAATTCCTGTATTTTGATTCCATTGGTCTAGGGTGGGATTCAGAAATCTGATCTGCAGCGTTCCTCTGCTGTAGACTGTAGTGTATTTAAGACAAACTCCATGTACCTGCAGCATGTATGTCAAAGGAGTAGTATATGTGGCATTAAACAACCCAGTGGCATGCAGTGGAGTGGGCGGGTAATTTGAGCAAAGGCACATGACTGTCAGGCTGTAGGGTTCACTAGCAGTTATGATAGCCAGTCTGCCCCTGCTATCTGTATTGATGGAACCCAAGCTCATGGGCTTGTATACACCAATATGACAAAACCTGCTTTCTCTGTTACAAGGTATAGATGTACAAGACCAAAATGCAAAGTAACGAATGTAGTCTGAATAGGTTCTTGTAGTAATCCAAATCTTGATTAGCTCAGATTATTTTTTATTCTGCTATTTGTAGCTTCTACTTTCTTCTTACGTAGAGACCTAATTGCAGACGAGAGGAAAAACAGTTGAGGCTCACAACCAGTGTCTTACTCGTGACATCATGAGGCCTTGGTGTCATTGCTATTTGTGCACATACTGTTTTTTTGTGAACTAATGATTTTTTTACTTTTTTCTTTCTGCAGAAGTAACAGTGTAATCCTTGCTGATGAAATGGGCCTAGGAAAGACCATCCAGACCATATCATTCCTCTCCTACCTGTTCCACCAACACCAGCTGTATGGCCCCTTTCTTATAGTCGTCCCTTTATCCACCCTCACCTCATGGCAGAGGGAGTTTGAAATCTGGGCACCAGAGATTAACGTAGTGGTTTACATAGGTGACCTGATGAGCAGAAATACGGTGTGTAAACAAAAAGAATTGGGATAGAATCTGTGTTATAAATGTATTTTTGAAATTGAACTAAAGCCATTATAGTCTTTAGTAAAATTATGATTCTGACACTGTGCTATGCCCCCAATATTGGGAGATTTATGTATCATCAAAATGCAACTCAGATATTCTTTAAAACATATGCTTACTATTTAAAGAAAAGCAACAACAATACATGGATGGGAATATTAAGTTTTTCTTCTCTCTGTCCTCTATACTTCCAAGACCACTTTATTTATAAAGGATTATAAGATGGAGTTAATACTTTGTGGAATGTTAATATTATTTTTGCTATTTTTAAGCAGAGAGATATTACTGAAAATATTTGAGTTCTTAGAGTTTGTTTCCCAACCTTTTAAAATGATGAGTTTGCATAATTTGTAAGAAAGGAGTAATGGGAAAGGACAATGAACCATTCCAGGGCTGCGTAAATGAGAATTATTTGTCTGTTATCAAACTTAACTTGAGCATCAGGAACTTAGAACACAGAGGCTTAAGTTTATCTTTGTTTAGCAAATCTTTTCTTGATAAAGACTAACTTTTTTTAAAAGCACCTCTTACGTGCCAGGCCCTGTGCTGGGTGCTTTATGTATACAGTTGGCCCTCTGCATCCATGGGTTTTGCATCTGCAGATTCAACCGATTGCAGATAAAATTTTGCAGATACAGAGGAATTGAATCTGTGGGTGCAAAACCTGTGGATATGGAGGGCCGACTGTATTCATTGTACTACACCATTTTATATAAGGGACTTAAGCATCTGTGTATTTTGGTATCTGTGGGAGGTCCTGGAACCAATCCCTCGTGGATCCTGAGGAACGACAGTATTACCCATAATCCTCACCATAGTCTTCAAAGTAGGTGGTATTCTTTCTAACTGGCTGATGAAGAAATTGACTCAGAGAGTTTAACACTTGTCCCCAGGCCTGCTAGAATGTGGCTGGGCTGGGGTTGGGACACAGATGTGTCTGGTCCTAGACCTTTGCTCTTTCACCACTGTATGTTAAACTGTTTTTGGGGGATTGCTTATAATAAATAAGAGCAAGCCATCAGGAATTCTCAAACCTTTGAGAGAGATGAGAAATATATGTTATCATGCTAATTCAAATTTGTTTTTATTAAAATTGTCTAACCTAAACCCTGGCAGATTTTATTGCCCTAATTTTGAGTTTCTAAGTGTATAGTAGTTCTTAGCTTCGTTAATCCATTTGTTAACCATTAAAAAAGAAAAAAAACTTCCTAGATTATGCAAAAAGGCTTCAAGCGCTGCATTCAAAGGTGATGACAAAGAAAGTGAACTCTGAAAAATTGTGGAGTCAGGGAAGTTTTCTTTGCGATCTGCAACACTCATTTCTTTATTCTTTCTTCCCTCTTGGTGGTGATCACGTGCATGCATTCCTTGTTCTGTTCTGTAGTTCCTACCTTGACAACCAAAGGGCAGGAGCTTTGTCATGGGCCATTATTTTGCTTGCTGGGGTGCAGTGACACTTCAGTATGAATGTGTTGGTTCTCGTGTTCCTTCACAGTTTTTTTTCATTCGTATTAAATTAGGTTTTCGTTCTGTAAGCCCCCCTTTCCTTTTTCTTGGGGGCCACATCTTTCTGCTCTATGATTAATGAAATTTTTGACCGAGCCAGAGGTTGGAATTTGTTTTACTTGTTAATAAAACTATTGCCCTACCCAAAGAATAATCAAATTATACTTAAGAAAATTCTCATTCTGGGAGATCCCTAGATAAGTTCAAGTCACCAGGGTTTAATTGCTGATGAAATGCTTTTTTTGGGTCAGATGTGTCAGGGTCAGAGGGGAAAATGTGAGAGGAGATGACAATTTATTTGAATTCTGGCAGTAAATTATTGGCAGCTCAGTGATCTTTTAATTCTCTTACTGCTCTATATTTTGGTTGCTTATGTCAATTTAGAATGTAAAAGGTATTCATTAAATTTTAATCAGATTTATTTTTTATTTGGCATGTTTCTGTTGCATCTATCACAAGACTTGCTGGTGATGTAGAAAGGTAAAGGTAGAAATGATATCTTAATTACTGTTTTCTCTTATAGATACGGGAATATGAATGGATTCATTCTCAGACCAAAAGGCTGAAGTTCAATGCACTTATAACAACATATGAGATCCTCTTGAAAGATAAGGTATGTAATGGGTAGCTAAAAGTCTAAATATTGTAGTGTGACTTGTCTGAATGGTGGGGTCTGTGCCTCCCACTTGCCGTGTTGTTTTTCTTTCTTTGTTTAAAAAAGCAAACAAATGAACAAAAAAAAAATTCACAAAGAATATTAAGGTTATAAATAAAAGACACAACCTTACAGTTGAAGGGGACCTTAGGTTGTGTAGTCCAGTTGAATGAAACAGGCTTAAAGGGTATTAAGGACAGTAACTCACCTGAGATTCTAGTCAGTCATTGGAAACTGGGCTTGAGCGCCATCTCAGGCATTTCCCATCATATTATTGTTAAGGCATTTCTCCAGAACAGATGATATGAATGGTTTCTGTGAGGAGGACAGAAAAAATGAAGCTCTTGAAATTATCTCCTTTCTATAGTTACTAAGAAATGTATGTGGCAGGTGATCCCATCGGTGATAATAAGCATAAACAAGTTCAATTTGGTGGCTCTTGGTGTTTCTGTGCTTCAGGGTTGGGGTGGAGAATAGGTAGAGAAGAATCTTAATTCAGGAGAGACTGCAAAATCATATGTTTTTTGTTTTTGTGTTGTTTTTGCCCAGCATACCAATTTTTGTGTTCTTGCTTTGGGGCATGCGGCATTACCTGGCATGAGACACCCCCCCCGCCCACCGCCCCATACCTTTTAGATGGTGATGTGCTCTTTTGAGTAGACACCGATCTGGCAACTAACAGAATAAACAGAAGAGTCCTAATATGCTTTAAGTCAGTCAAGAATAAATGTTTCTGTGTATACCTTTGTGATGGTATTTGTGCAGAGATAATTAACTCTTGAAAGTACTTTTGGGTTCCCTTCTGACCTGGTGGCTCGTTCTGTTTTGTTTTTACTTTAGACTGTGCTGGGCAGTATTAACTGGGCCTTTCTGGGAGTGGATGAAGCCCATCGGTTGAAGAATGATGACTCTTTGTTGTATAAAACTCTGATTGATTTCAAGTCCAACCATAGGCTCCTGATTACGGGGACCCCTCTTCAGAATTCCCTCAAAGAGCTCTGGTCCTTGCTGCACTTTATTATGCCGGAGAAGTAAGCTCCTTCCTGTGTATTTCAAAAGATACTAGAATGTCTGAAATGCCAATGCTTTTTAACTTTTTTAATAGACTTAGGGAAAACAGGTGGCACGGTTTGGGGAAAGCAAAACATTAAACTGAGGCAGGAACAAAACTAGTAAAGTATTCTATAATAAAAGATAGAAGGCACAGAAATCAGCCTGTTAAGGAGGAAAGCATATTGTCTACCAAACATTTGAATCAGTTAATGCTTTGGGGAAATAATTGGTAAATAGGAAACATCAGACCTTCTCACTGTTGTTTGAAGGTAATCAATATAATTGAAATGAAATATGCTAGGTACACAATCTGACAAGTATTAAAAAAATATCTTAAATTTAAACCTTTGATAACAGAAATATCAGCTTTAGGTCTGATCAAACCTTGAATTTATTAAAGAATTATGGAATGCCTTTATTGAAAAGATTTTTATGGGAGAGATGGTGTGCACATTTCATAAAATTTGAAATTATTCAGTGATGTTCGATGATACTTAAAATGAAATCTAAATTTGTTACCCTGATTTGGAAGACCTTACTCAGTCTGGCCCCTTGGCAATATGCTGATTTCATACCACTTTCTCTCACTCATTATCCTTCAGCCATTCTGGCCATCTTTCTGTTCCTTTAACATGTGAAGCCATTGCTATTCTTTTTGTCTACAATGTTTTTTCTCTTCCTTATCTTCACATGGCCAGTCATTTTTTTAATATTTTTGCCTTAGCTTGTATGACCACCTTCTTTTAGAGGTCTTCTCAGACCACCTAACCTAAAGTAGCCTATTAGACATGCTTATCATTCCTACCCTGTTTTATTTTCTATATGGCACCTCTTTTTTTCATGTATTTCCTCATTCACCTTGTGCCATTAAATTATGCATTCAAAAGTAGCAGGCATCTTGTTTACTTTATTCATCGATGGTCCACGTTACCTGGACCAGGTACCTGCCTAGTACCTGGCTCACAGTAAACAATTCAGTTGAGTTGTCAAGTTGACAGGTAAATGCTCCACGATTGTTTTTTTTTTTAATTCAGAAAAGATTTAAGTGTCTACCATGGGCCATAGACTGAGCAAGGCATTTTGGATAGCCTAATGAACAACGTAGAAATGGTCACTTCCCTCGTGTGTAACTATCCTTTTTTTGAACAGCCTATTGAGATATAATTTACATACCATAAAATGCACCATTGTAAGTATACAATTTAGTATCTTTTAGTAAATTATGGAGTTGTGCAACCATCACCATAATCTAGTTTGAGAATAATTTCCTCACCCAAAAAAGTTCCCTCTTGCCTATATGTAGTTAATCTCTGCTTTTATCTCTAGCCTTAGGGTAATCACTAATCAGCTTTCATCTCTAGAGATTTACCTTTTCTAGAAATTTCATATAAATGGAATCCTAATAATTAGTCTCTTGTTTTTGGCTTCTTTCACTTAGCATAGGTTTGAGATTCACCTGTGTCATAAGAGTTTATCAGGAGTTATTTATTCTCTTATTATGGAGTAATATTCTGTTGTATGCATATCCAGTCACCAGTTGATGGACAATTGGATTGCTTTAGTTTTGGGCTGTTGTGTCTTTGTGTGGACTTACATTTTTATTTATCTTGGTTAGATAGTTAGGAGTGGAGTTGCTGGATTGTTTGGAAAGCATGTATTTAACTTCCTAAAAAACTACCAAACTGTTTTCCAGAGAGACTGCACCATTTTACGCTCCCACCAGAAATGTTTGAATTTTCTGTTTCTCTATATCATCACCAATACTTGGTGTATTGTCAGTCTTTTGGATCCTAGCCACTCGGGAGGGTGTGTAGTGGTATCTCCTTGTGGTTTTGACTTGCGTTTCTATAATGACTAATAATGTTGAACCATCTTTTCATGTGTTCATTAGCCATTTGTGTATCTTTGAAATATCAGTGCAAATCTTTTGCCCATTTTGAAATTGGATTGTCCTGAGTTGAAGAGGTTTTTAATTTTTCTTTTTTTTTTTTTTTTAGTATTCTAGATTCAAGTGCTTTGTTAGTATATGATTTGCAAATATTTTGTCCCAGTCTGTGGCTTATCTTTTCATTTTCTTAGTGTTGTCTTTTGAAGAGCAAAAGTTTTTAAATTTGATGGAGTATAATTTATCAATTTTTTTAATGGATTGTGCTTTAATGTCATATAAAATAAGACATATTTACCTAACCTAAGGTCACAAAGACTTTCTTCTTTATTTTCTTCTGGAAGTTTTAGTTCTTACATTTAGGTCTGTGTTCCATTTTGAGTTACTTTTTGTTTATAGTGTGAAGTGTGAGAGCCTAAGTTCATTATTTTTGCAGAGGGATTTTGGAAATTGTCCCAGTGCCATTGGTTGAAAAGAATATCCTTTCTTTATTGATTTTTCTTGGTACCTTTGTTGAAAATCAGTTGAGACCATAAATGTAAGGATCTGTGTCTGGATTCTCAGTTCTTTTCCACTGGTACATATTCCTGTCCTCATGCCCATGCCACACTGTCTTTTTTTTTTTTTTTAATTAATTTATTTTTTTCCCCCAAAGCCCCAGTAGATAGTTGTATGTCATAGTTGCACAACCTTCTAGTTGCTGTGTGTGGGACATGGCCTCAGCATGGCTGGAGAAGCGGTGTGTCAGTGGGCGCCCGGGATCCGAACCCGGGCTGCCAGC